TTTGGCTGCAGTTTGGCGACAAACGAGTGGAGAAACGGAAGACGCCGGTTTTCAAGAACACCCTGAACCCTACGTTCAATGAGACCTTCGCCTTTGAGGTGCCATGGGAGCGGATCCGCGAGGCGTCCCTCAACATTCAAGTTATGGACTTTGACTCCGTCGGTCGGAATGAACTCATCGGAAGACTCGTCATTGCAGGTAAACATCTTCACACTTCAATAACCCTTATCGCTTTTCCTCGAGCATGAGTGCAAACGAAATCGACAGCGTTCCGCGTGTTTGTTTCGATCAAGAAAAGCACGGTAACCCTGACGTTTTCTATTAAATAAATAAAATACAGTTGGACATTCCCAATTGTCGACTCAAACCTATCTATGAGTCTAAAATTTTCAAAAACCACCCTATAATTCGATTCTCCAGCACTTATTCCCTGGTTAGTCCAATGCAATTTAAACCTCCCTAACGCAAAATTGTTTGAATCAAATCTCCCTAATTCAGAATTTTCAACCTTTTTCCATGAAATGGGTGCTAAATTTTAGAAAACCCGTCCCAGAAGGAAACAGAAGAAAACAGATGCAAAATATTTTCTTTATTATCCCCGTAAGCTGGATAGACATCTTAATGCAGATAGAACATCTATACATAATGAACAATTATAATAATTTGGCTAGATAATAATTTTCATTAATAATCTACCCAAATGAAGTCGAATTCATTGACTTGGAAAATTTTTTTAAAGTACAGTTTTTGGAATTCAAATTTTACGTAGAGGGGTTCTATTGCGGTTGATATTACGGATGATGTGCGCAAAATGTTTCTTTATCCCAGATTTCTCTATACACTGAAAAATAAAATCAACAGGTTTTTTGAACCTCGGCGATAATCCAAAAAAATTTGAAAAACTTCGTTCCAAAGCCATTAATGCGGTCAAATTAATTGCTGAAAGTAAATCTGCAAGTACAGTACTGTACAGTATAAATTATTGGCCGTAAAGCATTCCGCCATGTCAATGCGTAGGAAATTGATCACAAATTGAAAAGCCTCGAGAGTTGTTCAAAAAATGAACCGATTTCATGCCTTATTCCCATAAAACCCGTGACATTGAAGAGAAGGACCAGCACGGAATCCTTGTCCTTAATCCAGCGTAATCACGCTCGGATTAATGCTTGAACGGGTTCCAGTGCCCGAGGTGGTGGGGTTTGCATCGAAACCCAGGATAAAGGGGAATCTAAAAATAGTCTAGATGCGCGTTTGTCAGTGAAATGACGACGGTCTGTTTTATTCATGAGGCGTGGGCAAGGTTCTTTTGCGTCGCACAAAACTGCGGGTCGCTTGATATTCCGGCGTCGTTTCTGCGGTATATGCAGACAATCCGTTTCCCTTCGTATATGCCCTTCTTCTTGAGGTCTGAAGAACTCTTGTTCCTACCTGCTCTGAAGAACATCTTTTGTAACTTTTGATTCCCGAGAAAATAAAAGCTTTTTACAGCTCTTGTAAATGGATGCAGTTGTGCTAAGTTTTAAAACGAGGGTTGTTCCACTAGCACGCAACCTTGGTTATTTCCGGAGTAGGCATGACTGCATATAAATAATCGTTATTAATCCCATTATTCCGTAAGGTTCTTGGATTTTTCGGAATCAAGAAAATAATTTCAATCTACTGCTGCTTGATGATGAATAATCACTTTCAAAATGCGCGACCTGAGTTCTTCACCCATGTCACACAGCAGGGTGCTAAAAATTTGTCAGGCAAGTCTAAAAAAAATTAAATTTGTCTGTTTTTTAACCGCGATCTTTACCATATTTTAAATAATCTTTAAAACTGCAGAGCAATTCCAAATTTGAGCTGACCTAACAATTTTGTAGCACGCGTGGAGAACTTCGGTCGTAATAAACGGCACGTTTTCTTTTCGGGATAAATTGATTTTTTTTTCCTCCGAAGAAAAATCTCAGAACCTTACAACATCACGGGCTACATGGTAATTTTTTCAACTGTCGTACCTTTACTCCAGAAATAACCAAGGGCGCGCCCGAGTGGGACAACCCTCGTACAGTATTCAATAAATGAAGATTATTTCCAGAGAAATTCGGGGCTTTTCCATCTTCTTCCTGTGCCACGATTGTATACTATCATGATATTGCCTTTTCGGAAAGGAAATTGTTCCAATAAGGAGCAATGTCGGATGCGTTTCCGTAGGAGAGAAGTTGTTCATGTCCAGAGAGAAACAAGACCCTTGATCATTCCTGTCGCGTGGAGGCTATCGGGATATCTTCTATCATTCGGCGTCTTTATTCAAGTGCACTTTGAGGAAAACATCACCGAAATGCCAATGCGGAAACTGAACCCAATTTTTATCAGCTTCCAGAACACCGATATTTTCCGGGCATTTACTTTTCTATGACCTTTTGATCGTTGTCTATTTGGCAATGAGAGCTTTTGAAAACCTCTGTATCGTCAACATTGCTGAAGGATTATCGCTATTTCAGGGACTACAGTAATTATAAATAAGCACAAATTGCATCCAAGAAGAAGACCGTTTTTCGAACTGATGTTAAACTGAATGATAAGCACCGTGTAAAAAAAATTTATTTCCATCAGATTTTGAACTTGTTTTCATTTATAAAACCGGGTTTCGTTGGTAGGATAAAATAATTTCGAAATATACAAGGAGTACTGCAGTATAGGCAACTTGTTTCAAAATTGAGATGCTTAGTGCATCATTTGAGCAAGCACCTCATTAAAATCATGCAATTATAGCTCGTCGTCCACTGTTCTCCATTGTTTATAGTACTTCTTATCTCTCTCTTTTCCCTCTGTGTAGACAAAATGTTTTTTTAAACTGGTGGAAATACTGCTGATTGCTTGTTGTCCGAATCCCTGTTGCATTGTGCACTTGTTCCTGTTCAAGATAAATCTATACGGTACTGTATTGTTTCCTTAATAACCTGGCAACAAAGAAGATAATTCATCTACAACTACAGTAAACCACAGTACACGTATATTTAAATTATCCTTGAGGAAGCTTATTATAAACATCTTACAACGTTGAAGAATACATTCTCAGCAAGGAAGATTTCATTTCATGACCAATGTAGTCACTGTATAATAAAAATTTGTAATTACTGTACAGCTTATCTTGTTTAAAAAAATCCAGTGGGACCTGAAGAAAAGCTTCATTTTAGTATTAAAAGAAAAAAAAAACTTCTGAAGGACATGATTCCTGCATGTCCTGAGCATTTTTCGAAAATACCACGAGACATTTTCAACTCGTTACTTATCCAGCGGACAGTGAATTTAATTTGGAAAACATTTTCTTTTCTTTTTCCTAGGCAAAAACGCGACGGGTGCTTCCGAAGGAAAGCACTGGAGCGACATGATCTCCAAGCCGCGACAGTCCGTGCTCCAGTGGCACAAATTGAAGCCCGAGTAAGCCCGATAAAATTGGCACCAAATCCGCATCGGAAACATCAAAGCTTCAGATGTCCGGAATTCTTGAGATTTTCACCGTAAAATTGAAGAAGGTATGCAACGAAACATCCATCACCCCGGAAATGCCAGCAGTTTTTCCTCCGCTTTCGCGGGGAATTACGGACCCTATAGCTTTCGACAGTGGTCGGGTCGAAGATAGAAAAGCGAAGAGCAGCAGCAAGCAGCATCACAGAACGGCAGGTCAAAAAGGCGAGGGCTTAGACGAAAATATGAGAGATTTTTTCGAGTTTATACGATAGGGCTCGTGATTTTAGCAATTGTTGGTCAGCAGGGAGTAAGTTTAATCTCTGTTCGCTTTCCGCGATGATCTCAATTGGGTAGACAGACGGAGTTACAGGGACAGTAAGGAAAAGAGAAGATGTGTTTTTAGACGCCGTTGTTCCGGATGAATGAGTAAGATTTTGCCTAGAATTCAGAAACCGAGAAAATTAAATTTACAAATAAAAATTGAAATCGCGTAAGCATATATCAACCAGTATTTGCTCGTGAATAAGACGCCTTGTGCACTTTACTTGAGATTCGAATCTAATAACGGCATCAAGAATTGTTAACTTTGCAAATACTGAAGTGTATCTCCTAACCTAATGGCATGTGATACATGCACGAATAAATCTGAGTTTGGTATTATAAGCTGTTCAGCGTAAGAATAAAAATCGTTGCTTTATATTTTTAAGCATAGTAACTTCTTTTCGGATGTACTTGCATCTAAAATGTTCTTCTGCTGAATATGTGAGCAGTAAAAGTCTGAGCCCTAAATGTAATGTCAGAACTCAGAAGGTTCAAGAAAATATTGTAGTTTCAAGACATGCCAGTAAATTTACGATGTATAAAGAGTAAAGTAGATCGAAGTCTCTCGAAATATACGATAGCTTCTTATACGTGACTCTTAGAATAAGGAAAAGTGTCGCAGAATATAAATTCCTGAAAATTATTTCGACAGAGAAAATTCTGCAAATGCTCTGCATTCTCTAAGACGGGACACGGATAACTCATTTCTTAATGGCCAGGGAGAAACATTTTGCAAGGCGCGGAAGTTGACAAAAAAAAGCCAGTGAAAATGTTGTTTTCTTTTTTACGATGTGTGACCTCGTCTTGTTGCAGCGTGCGATATTTTGAGTGGCATGAAAGAGGTTCAGTTGAGGAAAGCGAAGGAACGGTTTCAAGTCAGAAACGTACATGCTTTTGATTTGCCTCCACATAAGCGTGGTTTTTCTTTGTTCTGTTTTTATTTGATGCTAAGACTAATTGCAGTTAACTCGGAAGGTTCAACAAAATCTACATCAATTCAGGGTTTTAATTTTATGAGGCGACCAGAACATATGCCCAAACAGGTTACCGGTACATATCGGATGCAGGAGACGAAGGACGGTTCTGTGGCGTGCAAAATTACAAGAAAACCGCACAAATTAATGCCCAGGAAATGTTTTCACAGCTCACTTCATGATGATCAATCGATTTTATCGATACCAGAACAAAGAGCTTGTTTTTCACGGATTTCAATATTTTTCAGCAGATTTTTTCCCGAAAAACAAATCGGCGTCTTATTTTGTCAGAAATTTCCATTCCTTATACCTCTTCGGGATTTATCAGAAACAACGTACTGTACTACTATAATTTGGACTTCAGAGTACAGTGAAAATACTTGAGAAAGTTTCACTTCATTTCGTTGTACGAATGTTGTTTAAAGAAGAGGCTTAGAAAAACTAATGAATCAAGGGAGTATTTAAAAAAACTGACACATTTCTGGTACATTTTTTGAGGAGTTGGTGCAGAATGTTTTACTTTCGGGATTGGATCAACCTTTCGAACGCATGAACTTCATCTGAAAATTTTCCAGTCAGAAAATGGAATTCAATTCGTTGGCCCCTATGCTGCACTGAAACATTCCAAGTCATTAAATATTAAACCTCTGAATTCAGGACAGGGAACCCTGCGGCCATTATTAGGAAAATTGCAAGGCAGGAAATTACGCAGACAATCCCTTCCAAAAAATGAAAATTCTGAACTACTCTCGTTAAAAAGAAGTATTAATGCTCAGATCAGCATCAAAAATTGAAATCCTGCAATGAAATCGTAATACAGTACTCTTCTATCTTCGGGCAGTCGGGAGAATGGAGAAGAAATCTTTCGTACGCGCGTAATTTATTAGTGAAACGAGAGTGGCGCGTTTTACTTTTAATTTCTACTCTTATGGTTCAACAAAAAGGATTTAGCTGTGCTGATTTTTTTTTTAGAATTTTCTTTTTTTGAAAGAGAGGAATTCCATTTTTTTTAGCGAAAGAAAGGTTACCGTATAGAGCTCGATGACGAGCTTTGTTCTGCTTCGCGTGAATCTATTGCGTTTTCTTTTTGTTGGGACTATTTGTAGAGGGCGATTTTTAGAGGAGTTGTTTCGCCATCAAGATCCTGAGGGAATCATTCATGATTGAGACGAGGTCGACTCCGAGGTACGAAAAAATGCCGGTCCTGTAAATATATTTTATTTCTTTGGATCGAAATCTTGCTTTCAGTTCACTTCGCTTGTTCTGTGCACTACTGAAGTTATTTCTCACAAGAAATTCGAACAAGATAACGAGAAGCATGACACCGTTTTTATATGCATGAGTTACGAGTAA